TTTCACCCGATGGGCGATTCACGTCCCCCTTCTAAACTATGAATGCATGCGCTGCTTGCATGCTGCAGCCATGTTTCTCATTCACGACACATGCATGCAAATTAGTATCAATATTCCTTTCATTTATAAATATTATTTCATGCATGTAATGTGCATGCATGCAGGTCAGGCTCATTGCATGCATCCTAAATGTATGTTAATTAAAACCACAGAAATGTTCTAGAAAACTTCTTTGAATATTTCATTTGTCCTGGTTATAAACAATTACAATTACAGTGGCTATTAATTTGTGTTGTTTATTTTTTATTTTGAGAACCTGGACTCTTAAGAATGAGAAGTTTTCACACAAAAAAGAATAATTAAATATTATCTAATAACCTTCAAGAATGATAATTGTTCTTTTTTAACTTGTACTGGTTTATTTATAATAAAAATTATATAACATTTACATATTTCTGTAAAAGTATGTTGTTTATTTTAGGAACTGGAAATGGTATGTAAATGCAAAAAAAAGTACATTTTAACAATGAGAATACTGGCTAATACTTATGAATTGTGGGGCTCTGTGTTAAAACATGACCCCTTCTAAAACTAACCTAAAGTATGATAAACTGACTTTTTAAATTATATAAAAAGAAAAATTGCCTAGTTTTCCTTTTTATAGATCGTTTTCACTCACGTGACCAAAAGCCTAGCAACCGTCACTACGCCGCCATATTGGTGGACCAAAAGTGTAAACAAACGGGGTTGCGTGCTCACTGTAAAGGTCCTGTGAAGATGGTATTTTGTTTGATAGTTGGTTGTGCAAGCAAAAGTACTCAGAGAAAGATCTTAATTTTTTTCAAGTGCCCTCAGTGGTTACAAAGCAAGGAGAAGAAGCTGAGAAATTATTGAAAGAAAGGAGTTCACTGTGGATTTCGGCTATTAGTCGCGATGATTTAACAGAACAGATTATCGCGAATGATCAAGTCTGTGACCGACATTTCGTCTCAGGAAAAGGAGCAAAAAGTTGGGACAGATTTAACCTTGACTGGAATGTTCCGTGGCACATCGTTGAGAACGAAAGCAATATAGACGACGCCCTGTTAACCTGGAATAAATTGTTTTCTGAGGTTGCAGATTCTCACGCATCTGTCAAAAGGCGACATGTTAAGGGACACCACTTCCTTGGATGAATAATAAAATTAGCGAAACAATGAAAGAACAAGACTGGATTCATTGAAAGGTGCGGAAATCAAACTCCTCTCAACACTGGAACACCTATAGAAAACTGAGAAGCATGGTCAATTGCTTAGTTAAATCTGCCAAGACGAAGTATTACTGTGGCTTGTTTCAGGATGCCAAAGGGAATGCGAAAAAAGTTTGGAATGCTGTCAATGAAGTTTGTTATCGCACCTCTTTTTCTCAGAAAGTGTCCAGTGCATTATTTCTGATGGAATTCAGCACACTACACCTCAATCTATTGCTTCAGCAATGAACAGCTTTTTTGCATCTATTGGTAAGCGACTGGCTGATAAAATAACAACTACATGGCCGAGTTGTAATTCAAGTACAGATTTGCTGAAGTCTCAGTTCCAGTTGGCTGAACTAGAGGAATCGTTTGTGCCTCAGCAGCTCCTCGCTCTGAAGACAAACAAGGCGATCGGCTTGGACAAAATTAGTGCAAGATTGCTCAAAAACTCTGCTCATACGATTGCACTATTTGTTACTAAGTTACTGAATCTATCAATTAAAACTAGTAAATTTCCTAAATTGTGGAAATGTTCTAAAATTACAGCCCTATTTAAGTCAGGGGACCGGACAAATGCATCAAACTACCGACCTATCTCTATTCTGCCTACACTCAGCAAGATTCTTGAGAAAGCTGTACATACACAGTTATACCAGTTCCTGGTTGTTTTTCACAGTTTCTAACACCACAAAAACGCCACACCGTAGAGCAGTATTGAAAGTGGGGCAAAATGAAAGAATTATACAACTTTACCTTGGTAGCGGGACAAATAACGTAATATTAGTCAACATTATTGTATTGCTCGAGAAAATAGAGGGGTGCACGAAATAAGTCCCTAATTGAGTGACTCATGATCTAATATCAAGTTCTCCCTTGCATTCACAACCATATAAGCATGCACTTTAAGGCCTCGCACAGTCATGTTAACAGTTCTGTATGGAGCCGTATAAGGGACACACATCTTTTCTATTTTCGTGCTACTTTTATTGCCACTTTTATTGCGACTTTTGGTGCCACTTTTAGTGCATATAAGAACGGATGTACATATTTAAAACTAGTATATATTTTACTTTATTATGTGCTAGATTATTTTTCTTTTATTATTGATGGTTGTAAATTGACCAGTATTGAACAGACAGTAATGGCAAAACTAACATATGGTTTACATGTAAGAGGAATAACCCCTCTGAGGAAGTTAAACTGTGAATTTCAGCCGCCTGATCATGCGCTCAATAGGAACCCTTGAGGTTGCAACTCGTCTTGTGGCAGTTGATGCTCGTGCAGATACATTATTCTTTCGCATCATTGGGGGTGCAATTAGCGCAGTGTCATGTAAAGCTAAAAGATCTTGAATGTTAAAGCCCTTATCAGCCATTACAGCATCGCCAGGTTCAGTTTGTCAAGGAAACCACTGACATTTACAATCTCCTTGTCACTGATTCTTCCACTATACAATTTTGAGACAAAATTAAAATGCAAAATAGGAGACAATGAAATGAGTAACTTAAATGTATTTAAGGACTTGTGTTGACTGTAGGTAGAACTTTGGCGGGACGGTTTACCTGGTTTTCCAACATAGAATTCTGTACAATCTATTATTGCTCTCAGATTTTTAAAGCAATTCTTTTTGAAGCTATTGGGTTTTGATATCTCTCGCAATTCCTCCTTTGTTGAAAAAGGCAAATGAAATCCCAACTCCTTTTCCAGAAATAAAATCCAAGTTATAAATATTCTGCTTCCAGTCCCTGTAGTAATACCGAAGATATCTCACAGCATTTCAAGACTTGGGTTCCTTCTTAGTCTGACAAGAGTAAACACAAAGTGTTCTTTGGTTGTCAGCTCTTTTATGAGGGGCTGGGTAACAGAGTTATAAGTCAACAAAACGTCAAGTCTCTGAAATAGTTTACCTTGATGTACTTGTCCTGGAGCTTTCCAGTCTTTGTTTTCGTGAACCTTTCCACACGTTCATGCACTGGTCGTTCAAAGAGCAGATAACTATCCAGCGGATAAGTCACTATCCAGCGGATGAAATGTATCAGCTGTAATGCATTTTGTCAGCTGGATAGCGACTTACCCGCTCTTTGAACAATTGCGGCCTGACCACTCTAAAAACGAGAAAGATCTAGGCGATCGGCTCGAATTGTGAGGAAACATTTCCCAGACGAGCGATGAGAGCAGAACCACAATGCCCAATGCTTTGTCAACTTTTTCTTATATAATAACTCATTCCCACCAAAGCCCAAGTTCTCTAGAGGAGAGGCGACTCCAGAGGTGATAGGAGAGCTCAAAATAGGCAGGAACACAGAGTAGCGCTGCGGGGAGGTGGAATAGTCGCCGATCTCTCAGCAGTTCACGAAAAGACAGAATACGCGCAAACTGAGAAACTCGGGTAATGTTATGCTTGTGGTCAGCAGTTTTACTTGCCATTACCCTAATTGTGATTGGGTTGGTAGCATTTAAAGTCAGGGTGTTTCTTCACAGGGGCATTAACGAGAAATTTGATGGGAAATTCGACTTTATCTCATAACAATGTATCTTTAAATCTAGGAGCCTTCCTTCTTTCCAGTAATTCTAGTCTTAGATTCATTTTTTTACTCATCACATTGTAGCTAGTCAAAAACAGACTGAATTCTTTTTCTTAAGTTTTATGTCTGACAAGGTTAACCTACAACGTATATGGTTGACCACGAATATCATCTAATGGCTTGAATCCATACGTTTTGACCACAAATAAGAAAAATTAACAGGACCTCATCACCTTGATTCGGTCGACGTCTGTAATTGACAGTAAAAGTAATTTTAACCAACCAAAGTGCAGCGGCTAAGAATATTCCGCAAGTGAACGAAGTGACTTAACGCAACTCCCTTAAGTTTCGAGTTTTCTTAAGTAAATTGTGCAATAGGCCAATGCCTATGCGCTGTTGATAAAGTTCTGTGATATATATCAGACACGGAGGCCATAACAACACTGAAAGAAATGGATAGTTTGGCTTCTTTCCGTTACTTGACAGCTCATGAAGTTTTCGGGCCAAAGTGTGTTATCACTATAAGTCATCAATAAGGTCCAAAAGGACAAAGTATAGTTGGCAAGCCTTGTCGATGGTAGTGGGTGTGTCTAATCGCTCGTCTTCCATTATCATTTCTTCCAGATCCTTGAAGGCAGGACAACATCCTTTTGCTTGTGGTCGCGTTGCGCACATTTGGTCTGCAATTTCAATTTTGTCTATGTCGATCAGGGTAGAATAATCTTGCGCACCTTTCTGCTCCGGAAGAAAGTAAAGAATATCTGGCTTCTCAGAAGGGGATTCCAGATTGGCAGATGGTCTAATTCTATGAACATTCCACTCCAGGACAACTCTGTGTAGCTCTTCTTGCATCAAATCCATGAAACAGATTTTTAAGCATTCTCGATGTATAACGTTCTTATCATTGTACAAACCAGAATCTCTTAAATTCTTAAAATACTCTATCCACTAGTCTGCACATCCCTGTCTCAAACGTCCCTACCATGCTTCTATTCTTTGATTTGAAGTTGATTTTCCGTAAATGAACTCTATTCTCCCGAAAAATCATCCTCAGAGGACCTACGAAAGAATCGTTGAATAGCTGCCACGTTCACCATCTCAGTTCCCCTGTCTCCCAGAATAATGCGTACAGTAGCTCCTAACTGCCTAACACAGTCAAGGTAATACTAAGCCACTATTTTGGGGTCGTTATTTGAAGATGCTACCTCAAGCCATAAATTCTTCTATTGAAAGGTTTCAGTTTGTCATAATCGTCTATAGACCCTTCGAAGTCTATGCCTTGATCGGTGTTCCACTCCTTCAGGGTCAAAGACCTTCAATACATGCCGAACAACGTCTCTCGTAGTAACAAGTCCGTAATGATTCACGAGTCTCTGGTGCATTGCTCTGTACCCAAGAAGACTACGGCTTCCCCTTAATTCCCCTTGCACTACCTGTACTTTTTCATCTAGGTCGCTTTGAAAGCGACGTCTTCTACACCCCAGCCTCCTTAGAATCCTTATCAAATGTTTCAGACTAAAACATAAACCATGCACACTTGCAAGGAACAAAACAGTTTCTTGATCAGCAAATCCAAGGTTAATGTAGGTTTCAATTAGTTTGTCTTGAGCAAGAGTGTTACCTCTGGTTGCAGGCAAATAATGCGGAAGCACTCCCTTTGAAGTTGTGCAAATAGCTGCTAAAAGGAATATTGAACAAAATCTTCATAGCTACAGCGACTGACGAACTTGTAGGGGAGGAAAAAAACCAGAACTCCTTGAAGAGGAAGTTGGTGTATAAGACATGCACAAGTGGTGCGCCTGCGATTTGTATTATGCTGATAGTCAATAGTGCAAGAGAATAAATAAAAAGACCATGATGGTGACTGATACTGAGTACGCCTGTACACAGTATTAAATGATGACCTATTAAGAACTGCATTTAAAGATGCATGAAACTACTCAGAGCTGCTAAAATGTGGAGGTGACTTAAATTCCATTTTACAAGTTGATGCAGAGATGTCTGAGATTTCTTCAACACTAAACTTTATACAACCTAGGCGAAAAGCCACTGTTGCCAATTTACATTCAGTATCCATACTCCTGCAAACATAGGTCTCCTAGTACATGGATAGGTCTCTCTAGTCCTTGCAATCACCGCACCTCCTGCAGCCATAGGTCTCCTAGTTCACGTACAGGTCTCTCTACTCTTTCCAACCACGACAACCCCTACAACCATAAGAGTCCCAGTACCCATATAAGTCTCACCATGTCCCCCAACTATTGCAATCCTGCAATGGTAGGTCTCCAAGTACGTTTATAAGTCTCACCATGCCTCACAACCATAGTTCTCCCAGTACAAAAGAATATTGCGTATTTTTTAGTTTTAAACCATCAAAATGTCATGCCTTTTAATAGTGTTAGTCCCCTCACTTTTCTAATCACTAATTCATCAGCAAAAGCGTTATGACAAGTAGAAGGTGTAAGGAAGTGAATTGATACACAAGGCATAAATGAGGCTCTGCATCATGAACATGCGAAAAGTAAATATGTAGCTTAACAAAACACAAAACAAAAATAAAATTTGACGTGCTGACTAAAAATATAACTTGAAAAACGTCCTTTTAAAGGCATTCACCAGGAAAAGGCTATCAAAGCGAAAAAACCTATTATAAATTTTCTCAGGCTGCTAAGCGTATGCAATGCGGAAGCCAATTATGTTAATAGAAATAAATTTTTTAACGCTAGTTTAGAGGAAGGTCTTAAGAAGTTATTATAAAGCCAGTGCTGGTTTAAAGTCTGCTAGGATATTTCCTGTTTAGAAAAATTCATTATTAATAAATATAAGCTTTTCTGTCAACCACCTTTTGTGATAGCAAGAACTATCTTTTCCTGTTCTTTCACCAGACTTATCTTCGAATTTCACGCTTGTTGGCTTTCCAATATCGACTTCTCTCCCTTGCTTTTCAGAGCATTTATTTCTTGCTGGTGCGTGTCCAGTGTCTGTTGAGTAGTTCTTTTGAAGTCCCCGTGGGTTTTGGCATCTTGCAAATCATTGACAGCGTTCCAAGTAGCCTCTTACATCCTTTCCACGGTTTTCATGCCTCTTATTTCATCTTTTATTTCTGTGCTGAGACAAGATATTTCCGCCAAAGAAGTTTTCCATCCTGTCCTCAAAACCTGATAGTTTATCCATTATTTGTGAGAGATGAGTGGTTGTAAGCCTCCACTCCGTCACTCAGCACTTGATTTCTTTTCAGAGATGGCGGTGATTGACACAAGGAACTTTAAGATCTCCCTTCTGTAGAGTCCCTTCGACATGCTCAAGTGATGGTTTCATTTTGGCCTCCTGGTCGATGTTTCTTACAGAGCACAAAAAAGACATCTATCTACCTTAACCTCGCAAGCCGGCCTCCAAAAGGAAGAATTAACTCCTAATATACACTTAAAAATGATTGAAGAAGAACTCTCTAAATAGTCTGCATAACTCTTTTTCACCAAGGCCTGAAGCACTGCGCACATCTAAAAGAATATAAGGATACTCATTTGTTCCAAGAAGATTAACCGCACTACTAGTTGCTGACGGTACTCGAGGTGAAGTCTCTACTGCCGTAAGAGCTGGGGCAGGATGGAGAGTTTGCCCAATGTCCTCCCGCAATTAAAGCACTTGTCTGAGGGCTGCAGATGTCTGTGGTGAAAGGCTGCTGACAAAAGGACTGAAAACGGAATTGCTCTGAACAAAAAGGCTGAATGGCAGGGTAAACCAGAAAGAGGCCTCTCCTGTGAAGATGTGAAACGAGCTTGAGCAGTACTCCTCGATTGCATTTTTCAGCCACAAAGCTTGGAAAGGGCCCTCCGCTCAGTAGAACGTAGCTTCTTTTCATCCTCTGAGTCATCACCAAGTTTTTCAGAGTCATATTCTTCCACAGCTATCCAACCAGCCGGACTTTTATCACCAAGCGAATGACCTTGCTTCGTTTGTTCAACTGCACCTTTAGATTTTTCTAACTACTTATTTATTACTGCAACAGGATTACCTTCCAAGAGCACGGAACAGGCCATGTTAACAAGTTGTAAAAGGCCAGAATTGGACTCAAACTGAACTTTATTGCCTTTTAACTCGAAAACTGTTTGCCACTTTTGTCTTGCTTTTTAGCTCCTTGAACTGGAAAGTTGTCGTGATCTCCTCATCAAACCACATTTATTCTCGGAAAACTTCTAATCCAGCATCAAATCGAAGAGGCAATAAGTCAGCTGGACAATCTCTGTCCTGGAGAGATTAGGCTCTACGTTAGTTCTCAACTCCGAGGATTCGTGGCTTGCATCATCCAAAACAAATAAAGTGAGATCTGCAAGTTGCTAAGACAGATGCCATCGAGTTACCTTGTCCTGTAGCACTACCACGAATTGTCAGATTTTTTTTTAAAACATACCGTCCACCCCTCCAAAAAAATCCTTTTTAGCTCCTACTTAAAACAAGCCACCAAAAAAATCCCAGAATCGAAAATTTCAAACCCCAAAATACCCTTCGATCATCACTTGAAATCCGGGCTACCCATTGAAGTTGTATTTATGTATTTTTACGCTGTGTGCTGCGAAGCTACAACACCAACAGAACCATAAATATTTCTGAATCAGCCCGAGGTCTATTGTTCTGATTTTCAGTTTTGGCCTTAAAATGGCGATTTATTACAGTTATGTAAGGGTTACCTCATACATAAAAGTAATCACTGAATAACGATTCTCCCCCTGTATTGTTTATGTTTAAATGAATGAGGTCGAATGCACAGAACGATATTTGTGGATCAAATCACTTAGACGTTCCGCATCTCCTTTGTGAACTGCAAAACAGTAATTCTCCGAAAAACGAACATAATAAAAATTTCCTAGAAGAAATGCATTCTCTTTTTCCGTTACTTCGTCCATAGAGGAATTCATAATTGTCGCTTGCAAGATCTTGAGAACAGCAGACTTCCTACCACATTTATTTTTAGTTTCCATCCATGTATAGGATGGCCTTTGTTTAATGAGACTTACTTTTGTAGAAGCAACGTGCAACAACTTGAAGATTAAAGTGCAGTGCTGGCTAGCAAAACTATTGAAACCTCGATCTGTAATGTTAATGGCAACAGCTTACTGGGCCCGTTGATAATAGGGACTTTCGAGAGACAGGCCCCTGACCTCTAAAAACCATACTCCTTTACAGACCTGGCCTTTAGGCAGAAATTATGTCATCATTACTTACATTTGAGCGCAAACAAAAAATTCTTTAAATGTATTTTAAATTTGCAGATTTTTATTTTGTCCTTATTAATTTGGAATTGAAACGATGACTACGTTCACTACTAGGAGTATGTATGTGAAACACCATGTGAAAAACGTGTGAAAAATGTCCTATTTTCACACTCATTTCACATGTTTTTCACACGTTTTTCACACACTTTTCACATGCATTTCACACACATTTTTCACATGCATGTGAAATTTTGCATAGTGAAATATATGTGAAAAGGGTGTGAAACGATGTCAACCCTTTCACACACATTTTCACATACACTTCACATGGGGTTTCACACAGGCTTTCACGTGTCAATCCTCATTTAAATTCACACATATTTTCATACACTTCACATGGGGTTTCACATAGGCTTTCACATGTAATTAATCCTCACTGAATGGCAAAACATACAGTAATTCACACATTATTTCACATACACTTCACATGGGGTTTCACATGAGCTTTCACACGTAAATCCTCAGTGATCCGAGATCATCAATGGCTATGGAATTTCACTACCCTGCGAGCGTAAACAAACCAACTACGTAACAGACAATTACAACAAAACTTTTTAATATCATGCTCACTTTTTATACCTTTAATTTCTACGTCAATAAAATAACTAATAATATACTAATTTTTGGTTAGAAATATTTCTTATAAATTGTAATAATTATGATAGTAAATGACATGGTGGGCCAATTTGCAATTTCCACTTATTAAGGCATA